AGCGACTAGGTAGCTGTAGACGACGTGGGGTGTTCTGATTCACTGCTTGAGCACCAGCTGTATGCTGGCTGGTGAAGTCATTCCACCTGCCCCTGAAGAACTCTGGAATGGGAAAGGCAGAAATGTTCCCAGTGTGATAAATGCTATAGTAGAGATTTGTAGGAAGAGCCAAGACCCTGGAGAAAAATCATCCAGGCTGGGGAGGTCGTGGCAGGCAGGCAGAGGGAGGGAGGAAGTGACATGGACTTAGGAGGGAGGCGGCGCTGTTCTAGGCGGAAGGGAATGGTTTGTGTGCAACTTGGAGACATGACAGCATGTGATATTTTAGGGGACTGGCCTGTTGTCCTATGTGGCTGGGCATTTAGGGTCACACGAATTAAGACTTGTTGGCACTAAATTCTAAAGGGCCTCGTGAGTCCTAACGAGCTTTAAGGAGCAAATGAAGGATTAACACAATCAGATTTTTGATACTTGTTAATACAGCAAAGAACTTCACATCAACAGTGCCAGGTCCACAGGCACTGGGGGATTGGAGCCCCCGTCATCTCTGGGGTCCCTGGTTCTTTATTATTGCATACTTCCATCATCGTTGTGTACCTGCAGTTCCCGTCTATTTCCAGCACAGCAACAACTCTGTAAACACCTGTTTTCCTTTGGCCACAGAACACAGCATGCCTTTATTAACAGGAGCCAGTCTGCGAGGGAAAAACAACCTGTTCCTTGAAGCTCGAGTCTTGTTCACTGCTACTCCTTCGGGCAGTCTTCCTCTCGGGGGGTGAGGGGGCGGTCTTTCCTTCTAGTTCCTTCACCTCTGCGGTGTGCCTAGTAAATGAAAAGCCCTTGTTGCGAATGAGTTTTGATTTCGTTTCATTTTTAACTATGTAAAGTCTAGCGGGCTTTATCTCGTCACTATTTCAGCCAGATTTCAGGATCAGAAGCCATCCTGTCACATAGGCGGGGCGGAGGCTCAGTTCTGAGACCCGCTTAGATGCTTAGACCCGCCGGTGGGCTTAGCGGTACGGCCCCTGACCAGGGATCCGGGGACTCTTTCTTTCCACCCTGCAGTTTGCCGCAGTGCTATCCAGACGCCCTTCTCTCCTCCTCGGAGGTTTGTTCAAGTCTTTGCTGACTGCCTTCTCCCCGGACTCCCTTCTTCTGTGAGTTAGGAATTCCGTGATTTTCCTCGCCTAGTCATTGCCCTTGTGCTTTCCTGACTCACGCCGTGCATCTTCCTCCCTTGCCGCATGCCCTGACCCACACACCGGTCCACTGGTTGAGATGAAAAGCCTTTGCTTTTTTAAAAGTCATGGTGGTTTAATAACGATACTGTCACTTCCTGGAGACCCACTGCAGGTGTCAAGTGCTGTGGTGAGTGTTTTGCAGCTGGTATCTCTTTAATCCTTGCAACAACTCCTGTGACCCCTATATTTTATTATTATTATTTCTATCGTATGGATCAGGAAACAGACACACTGTAGGCTGCAGGCTGGCCAGCGAACAAGACCACGGCTGGAGCGGCTGGCACGCCCGGGCTCCCCATCTGAGGTCCATCTGATAGCGGAGTTTGCGCTCTGGACTTGGCCGGGCGCCTCCCGTAATGTGTGACTTGGTTAGGAGCTCCCCCTTCACCTTTTTCTTAAATAAATGAATCTAAACTTTAAAAATTGAAATAGGATATACGTGCAGAAAGGTGCATCCATCATAGGTGTATAGCTCCGAGACTTTTCACCGTGGGCACCAGCCCCTGGATCAAGGAACAGGGCCGGATTATTGCCCCGGAGGCCGCTCTTAGCCCTTCCAGTTGCTGAGGGTAACCGCCGTCCTACTCTGCCTTTCAGTAAATACCATAAGTGAATTTTGCCTGTTTTTGGACTTCTGTAAATACAATCACACCACATACATTCTTTTGTATCTGGCTTTATTCTGAATTCTGGTTTGAGAGACATTTATAAATACTCAACTATCTATTTATAAATTCCCTTTCCTGGTTGGTTTTACTTTTCTTAGTTCCTGAATCAGTAGAGAAAGGTGAGTTTCCTTTCAGGATCTCTTTAACATCATTATGATGTGCCCTCGCCGTGGCCTTTTATCGAGGAAGCCCCTGTCATTGTTGCAGGTGAATAATTCCGCGTGGTCTCACTTGCTCCCCTGGTCCTTGCCTTCCGGCTGCCCCCTCCTCAAGACCCATCAGCCCTGTGCGTCGTCGTTCTGCTTTGTTCATTTGATTAGGCGCTCCAGGCTCCAGCTCAGCGGGCAGCGCCAGCTTCCTCCGAGGCCCCCTGTGACTGATATATTAGCATCCATATGGGTTTCCCCGGGGACGGATGAATGTTCACAGCTTCTGACAGCAGTTTCACCGCACCGTGAATCAATTTTAAATTGCCTCAGTGTGATGATCGCAGACCTACTGTGCAGTTTAAAGAAGAGGACACCTGGGAGACAAGTGGGTGTCTTCCAGGGACCAGCACGCACATCTCCCGGCTGTACGCTGTGCATCTATTTTAATCTGGAACATTTAACTCTATAATAAGCAGGCTTCCACTTGAAGCAAGATAAAATTTCCCTCCCCTGAAGATCTGGCATTGCTGAAAGAGCAAGTGTTGGAAACTTGGCGTTACCTGGAGGTGCCCACGTTGATTTGTGGTTCTCTCTCCCCCCTTGACGGCCGTTCTTACAAAATATGTGCGACTCAGTTGCTTTATTTAATGGAAGCTCACTTGGAATTTGCTCAGCATCACTTGGGATATTTGTTACTTTCAGACCCAGGTCATGGTACCTGATTCTGGGTCATGTATTTGCCCTGTGAGAATTCTTGAAAGCCCAGAATTCTTGTAATATATAAGTAGATTTAAATAGATTTAAGCTCCCAGTTCTGTGATTGTCTTAAAGGGCAATAAAATACTATTTAATTACAACTCCAAATATCCCATAGTAAGTGGCCTAGGCCCCTATTCAGCTGTCATGTGTGTATATTAAAATATCTTGTGGATTTGACACCAAAGGGTCCTGTTGGATAAAAAAAAATAAGATTTAGTGGTTTGGTGATGTGAGGGCTTTGAGCTGTACTGGTTTATATGCATATTTATTTCCTGGGACGTTCTCGTTATATGCTTAGTTTTTCAAATTAAGAGTAACATTAAAGATTTTGGCCAAATAGCCATTTAATATTAGTTATTGGAACAAATTTGCCAGGAGATAACATATCTAAGATTGTGTCCCTTGGTTGAGGGGAGTGGAAGTTTAAAAGTCTTCACGTATGTATTTGAAATTTTACTTTTAAAGAAGGAAAATAATAGCATGTATTTTATTTTCAAGAGAGAGTATGTGAGTTTTAAATGTAAGGTGGTAGAGACCTGATATCTTCTATCAGTTTTCAATTTTGTGCTTGATAAGTGATTTTACAAAATCTGAGTTAGTATCAAAATGAAAATAGAATCAAATGAAATTAGTACTCACGGTCTTTATGTGTTTATGGGTGTAAAGGTGCCAATGACAAGTTCGAGAAAAACCCAGACTTCCCCTTAGGGAATTATAGGAAGGAAGAAACAGTACATATTTCATTGACTGTTCATATTTTGAACTTTCTAGGTATCCTAGTGATGTCTTAGATAAGAAAGCGAAAGTAGTAATCTTCAAAGTGGGATGTGTGTAATTCTTTCTGTTGGGATAATATGAAAATCTTAGCAGTGAAAATAGTAGAAATATTCTTTTTTCTGTCTTCTAAAGTGTCTTTTCTTTGTGCATGTTTTGTAATGTCCATGATATGTTAGCTCTTGGAGTTTAAATTTAGTTCATTGAAAAAAAATGCTTTGAATTTTGGTGTGGAAATAGAAGTATGCAACTAGAATTAGGTTTGTTTGTATTTCACAGGGGAAGAAAGCAGTAGCTTAAATAATATGGGAGTTTATTTCTCTCTCCCATAAAAGACACTGATTGTCAGCAGCCCAAGGCAGGTATCACAGCTGAGTAGTGTCACCAGGGCCTCTGCCTCCTATCTTTCTGTTCTACCTCCCTCAGTAGTCTCTTTCCATCTTCAAAGTCACCGTGTGGGCCAAAAAGGCTGCAGGAGCTTCAGTCTTGCTTATAGTTCAGGCATGGGGAAGGAAGAAGAGAATGGGGCAGGCATATCCCCTCTCCTTTTATTAAAGTTAATAAATTTTATGTTTCTGAACAGTTTTAGGTTCATAGCAAAATTGAGCAGAAAGTACAGAGTTCCCCTGGTCCCTCCCCTCTCTTTCAATTTAAGACCTCAAAGTGCCACTCAGTGGCCTCTGCCTAAATCTCACTGGTCAGAACATAGAACTCTTCTTCAGCTAGTAGAAGAGTAATCTATTTCCAGCTGGAAACTTTGCTGCCTTAGATAAAACTGGGGTTCGTGACCACAGTAGGGAGGGGAGGTTGATGAGTAGGAAACTTAAAATCTCTGTTACAAAGCCATCTGATGGAAGAGAATCTCTTTCATTTTCTCTTGTTTATGCAAAAGAGAGTTTTAAGTCCAAGCTTTAAACTGGTGTGTTTAGAAAGCTGCTTTGTTATTGTTAGCGTTGAAATATACTGTTCGCTGTTTGTAAATAAACTATTATAAGTTTTTAAGGGCTTCATCTTAAGCACTGAAAATAATCATTTTAAATTATACTAAGAAATCATACAGCTACACAAGATATACGGAAGGAAGTTTTTTACATTAATTTGGAAGCACAGTTAAGTGTTTTATAATAAGATTTGAGGGAATGCTTTAGAGTGGATAAGCACGATTTTTAAAATCTTAAGAAAATGTAAAATATATGTGTCCTTTTGTATACCCTAGATCCCCGCTATTTTTCATTTTAAATCTGTTCCATCAGTAAATCTTCAACTTGTATTCATTTCAACAGGGACCGTAACAAGGGTATCTTCCCTCATCTTTCTCCTAGAACAGTGCTGAGGTGTAATGACTGATTCCGTCGTAATAAATGTGTTTTCCGTCTTCTCTCTTCTCTCCGATGATCCCTCTACAAAAGAGCGTACTCCTTCCACGTGACCGCAGACGGCCAGATGCAGCCTGTCCCCTTTCCCCCTGACGCCCTCATCGGACCTGGCATCCCCCGCCACGCTCGCCAGATCAACACGCTCAACCACGGGGAGGTGGTGTGTGCGGTGACCATCAGCAACCCCACGAGACACGTGTACACGGGCGGGAAGGGCTGCGTCAAGGTCTGGGACATCAGCCACCCTGGCAATAAGAGTCCTGTCTCTCAGCTCGACTGTCTGGTGAGTGAGCAGGAACTGGAGCACAAGGGTCATTTCTCCCTGGAGACCCAATAAGGAAATAGCTGTCCAGGCCTGGGTTTTATTCCCATTATGAGGAAATAGAAGCCCCTTCTGTTTCCTGTGTCAGCTATTCAACTCTCCCCTCTCTCCCCAGTGTGCAGGTTTCATCTGTTGCTATCGCAGTGGTTAAAGCCAGAGTTGACGGATTTCTTTTTTTAAATATTTTATTTACAGTGGTTACAGAAGCGTTCCTTGTGTGAGCATGTACTATAAAGGGGGTTTCCCATTTAGTGGACGAAAGCACAGCCAGGCCTGGACTCTGATCCCTGCAGTGCGCTCCACGTTTAATTTCCCTACAGCCTGCAGATAAACACAGACGAGTAAACATTTGATAACGTGGCATGAAGACCATTCTGAACAGGGTCTGTGTTTTTGAGGGAGACCTGAGAGAGCTGGTTTTACCACCCCAACTTCAAGAAAGGGCTAAAGGATCTCACTGCAGGAAATCAGGACAGCCATCAGTCATGCAGGAAAATGCTTTCCCAAGGCCCCTAAGCCACCTCCTCCCACAGTCCGAGAATACCATTTTGCATGTTTCAGGGACGTAGAACGCGCCAGGACATGTCCGATCTCTAAACTGTAACCCCGGGATTTACAGAGCACATGCCACTGGCCTTACGCAGACGCCACTGCCCGGGACAGTGTCTGCCCGAGCTCTGCTTTGGTGTCCGCCGCATGCCTGGAGAACTGCGAGGATTCCAGAGAGAGTTTCCAAAAAGCAGAGTGGCACAGAGACTTTGGTGGTAGTGATTAGTGTATTTTAAAAAAATCAGATAACTTAAAAAAAATCTCTCCATTCATGAAACTCATACTGAAATACAGCTCAGCTTCCTGTAGCCATGGGAGCATCCTTTTTTGAAGTGAATGTGCTGTAGGTTTCTCTCATCTTTGAAAGACAGGCCAGTGTTAAAGCATGTAAGAAAACTTCAGCTCTATCTATTTGGATTTAAATTAGGAGGATAGCAGTTATTTCTTTCAGGGATGGGTCATATTAGGTGCCACCCACCCCCACCCCCTTTCGTGTGTGATGATGGAGCTTTAGATAAGAAATCCTCTGTCTAGTGAAGACACAGTCCAGCACTGGGTAGAGTGTTAAGAGTAATGAAAACCAAAACATGGACAGTGGTCTGCAGCTTCCAAATGGTTAATAATGGAAGGTAAAAGATTTATAAACTCCATTCCTCATCCTGTGCCCCCCAACCCACTCCCTCCTGGGATGTAGAGATGGAGTCTCGCTCTGTCACCGGCTAGAGTGCATTGGCGTCATCAGAGCTCACTGCAACCTCGAACTCGGGCTCAAGCAGTCTTCCCTCTCAGCCTCCCAAGTAGCTGGGACAGCAGGCATTTGCCACCACGCCCGGCTAATTTTTTCTATTTTTAGTAAAGATGGGGGTCTCGCTCTTGCTCAGGGCCCTGGCTGGTCACGAACTCCTGAGCTCAGGAGATCCTTCCGCTTCGGCCTCCCAGAGTGCTAGGATTGCAGGCGTGAGCCACTGCACGTGGCCTATAAACGACTTTTGAAAAGTGGTTTCTTCACAGAAAACAGGAGTACACGTCCACCCACCTTACACACCCAGATGATTTCAGTTCTGTCGATGAAGCAGAATATCAGGAACAGTTCTCTAAGCTCTCACCACACACAGGCAATCCAGTGAGTTTGTTTTGTTTGCTATTTTGAAGGAGACAGTTGCAGTCGGACGCCCATCTTACTGCAGAACTCTTGGCTTTGTTAGAGCGTCTGTGAAATACCACTCTTTAAGTCAAAAACCAATACAGTAGTTAGAGAGTGTGGTGCTGTTATTGCTCAGTAATTCATTATAGCAGTTGAGTGATGTTTATTTCACAGAACAGGGATAACTACATCCGTTCCTGTAAATTACTACCTGATGGCTGCACTCTCATCGTTGGCGGGGAGGCCAGCACTCTGTCCATCTGGGACCTGGCCGCTCCGACCCCGCGCATCAAGGCAGAGCTGACGTCCTCGGCCCCCGCCTGCTACGCCCTGGCCATCAGCCCCGACTCCAAGGTCTGCTTCTCGTGCTGCAGCGACGGCAACATCGCCGTGTGGGATCTGCACAACCAGACGCTGGTGAGGTGAGCAAAGGTGGTCGTCTGAGGGAGAGTTCCCCGTTGAGTGGCGGGGCCGGGAGACCTCCTCCTGGTACCTCCGTTTCCCTCTGGCTGCCCCACCGCCCGGCTCTCGGCTCACACACCGGGCTCCCACTGTATGCCAGGCTCGGAGCTCGGTGCTAGGTGTCGGGGGTACAGAGACAGAGAGCTGTGTCGCTGCTTTTGGGCAGCTTAACAACTTTACCGCTGTGCCCAGCGTCACTGTGTCCTTAATATTCCATTCCTTGGGCCCACTTAACAGACATCAAACTTGTTTAAAAAATATTCCCAGGCGGGGCGCAGTGGCTCACGCCTGTAATCCTAGCACTCTGGGAGGCCAAGGCGGCTTGATCGCTCAAGGTCAGGAGTTTGAAACCGGCCTGAGCAAGAGTGAGACCCCGTCTCTACTAAAAATAGAAAGAAAGAAATTAATTGGCCAACTAAAAATACATAGAAAAAATCAGCCAGGCATGGTGGTGCATGCCTGTAATCCCAGCTACTCGGGAGGCTGAGGCAGGAGGATCGCTTGAGCCCAGGAGTTTGAGGTTGCTGTGAGCTAGGCTGACGCCACGGCACTCTAGCCTGGGCAACAGAGTGATACTCTGTCTCAAAAAAAAAAAAAAAAAATATTCCTAGCTTTTGCCAAGGGGTTGCCTAATGTGGATTGCATGGCAGTACGAAGAGCCCTTGATACTGGATGTTTCTGGCTTTGGCTAGAATCTTGTTTGTGCAAACAGGAACCAACTGATAAAAGATAACAGAAAATCAATACAGGGACACGAGGAAAGGAGATGCCATGAATTTCACCCACAAAATGGTTTTAAAGTATCCATGTTTCCCAAGAGTGAAATAAGACACCTGCCCAGCGGCGCTTCCACCCAGGAGCTAGCAGGGGTCTTCCTGGCTTCCTGGGATCTGCCCTCCTCTCCGTAGCAGCTGCTGTGGCTCTGTACCTTTGTGTCTGTCCTCAGCTCCTCCACCACACGCACCCCGCAGAAAGTCAGAGCTCACACCAGAGATGTTCTAGAAAAGTCTTTTAAAAAGTAAGCATTAGTGAAATGTCAGTGGTAAAATTAGCATGTGTTTCCCTCTTTTACATTTCATCTTGGCTCAGAAACTGTCTCCATGTGGCACAGTTTGAGGCCCGGGGCCTATTTGGCAAACCTCCTCTTTGCTCCAGGTCCGTGTGCAGAGAGAAGGGACAACCTGCAGACGTCGTCATGACAGCTTACTCGCTCTGCAGACCTCCTCTGTAGAAATCCATTAAGTATCATCGAGCCAGGCCCTGTCCCTGCGTGTGGGTGACGCTGCGACAGTTATTTTCCTCTTACCACTTGCTGTGTGGAGCAGAGTGAGCAAAATGGAATAATGGGGCCACAGCCGAAAGCTGCTTTGACCTTTTAGCTTAGCAAAAGCTACTTGTCTTTTTTTTTTCTTTTCTTCCTTTTTTTAACTTAATAATTATCACTTTCAAAATATTAATTTTAAGAGCTTTTCAAATATCACTCCATCGAATCCTCATAACATCTGTACGGTAGTTCTGCCCATTTTATAGATGAGGAACCTGAGGCACAGAGAGGTAACGGTGCTCACCCCAGGTTATGCAGGGGGACCTGAGATCAGAGCCCAGGCCTTCTGCCTCTCACCTGTGCTCTGAACCCCCCTGCTCTGCGTCAGCTCCCAGGGAGTAAATAAATACCTGTTGGATATCATAGAGTGTAGCACTTCATAGATTTTTCTTAGTTGGGACTGGCCACACGTGGCTACCCTGTGCGACAGGGTAATATAAAGCCTCTTGAATGTCTTTGTGTCTACTGTGACCCAGCACACAGTCAGTCATAGGGTCTGCCAGGGAGCAATGCTGAGACATGGGGATGGAGGGTGGAGGCGTGGAGGAACACCCACCAAGTGCTGTACGTCAGCAGACAAAGATGTTTTTAGCCAAGGAGCAAGAGCATTTAATGAGTCAGAGGGGTCAAAAGAAGTCAGAGGGTGAAGAGATCACTGGGTCTCCAGAGCTGTTTGAAGGGAAAAAAAAGTGGCACTTTGAAAAAGCGAAGCAGGGACTGCCATGGACCTGCCTGGCCTGTGGGGAAGTCTTGGAGGGGACAGTTGGGGTCCACGAGCACAGCTGCAGTGGAGAGAGGACTGAGCCTGGATCCTGAATTGCAGAAGTTGGGACAGCTTGCAGAGAGAAGATTTTGGAAGTGATGGTTCACTCTTGGCTCAGAATTCAGGGCAACAGTGGTGCTTTTTCCTTCCCTTGCACTCTTTTATGTTCCAAGCTCAGGTTAAAAGGTTGCAGCCCTGTGGGTATGAGGTATGAGAGCCTACAGGAAGAAAAGCCATGGAGATTTTCCTCTTGGAATTCTCCTGTCTGGTTCTGAGGGCGAGTCCAGACCTTGCTCCCCTTTTCCAACCGCTCTCCCACCAGCTCTCTCTTGGCGTGCAAAACCGAGTCCAGGACAGCCTCCGACCCTGCAGTGGCTCACACTGACCTCCTTCCAGCAGGCCCTACTCAGCAAATCCCCGTTGGCTGAACGGCCGTGCTTTTTGGATAAAGCACAAAGTTTCCCTTTAAAGAACAGCCTTGCGCTCAGCTTGGAAGCGGGGTCTCGCTGAAGTGCTGTGGGTCTGCCTCCGGCCTCAGCAGTTGCCTTTGTCTCCGCTCAACACCTCTGAGGTCAGGAGGCCGGCATGCATGACCCTTTGTCTCTGGGAGTCCAGATTTCCTAACGCAGGGCTCTTTATAACACAGAAAACAAGGTTGAGTAAACACATGAGCTCATGCTCTGTTGGCACGAAGGGCATTGCCGAGTTGATTGACTCATGGAGACCGGAATACTTTCTGTAGCCCATGCTTGTAATGTGGCCACTTCTTTCTCATGAATTCAGGCCTTCATAATTGAAAGGCGGGCCTTCATCTTTCCTTAAGGAATACACTTGGGATTTTGTGTGTTTGTCCTTTATTTTCTTTTAACACTTAAATACTTCCAGACCTGGAAAGAGTTTTGCTTTCCAGACGGATTTGTCAGAGTAGCATATTTAACTTCTGGGTAGTGACCTGCAGTGGCGTTCCTTTTCTTTAGCGTTTGGATTGTGAAAAAAGACAATCTGCAGGTGCTGTTTCCTGTCCTCCTCGGGGGAAGGTTAGTTTGATCTTGCACGTCGGCAGACGCTGGCGAGATGACACACATGCACAGAGTCCAAAACTAACAACACAACAGTGTTTACCTTGAGTTCTGGCAGGAAATCATTATTCAATCTGGTTTGTTTTATCAGGCAATTCCAGGGCCACACAGACGGAGCCAGCTGTATTGACATTTCTAATGATGGCACCAAGCTCTGGACGGGCGGTTTGGACAACACTGTCAGGTCCTGGGACCTGCGCGAGGGACGGCAGCTGCAGCAGCACGACTTCACCTCCCAGGTGACTGACTGGCGCTCGTCTGCCCCAGAGACTGTGAGGTGGCCTGGGTGTGTCGTCCTCTCCCCTCTTCCCACCCCAGGGTAGTGGCAGCTAGACAAACAGATCGGGCTGAAATCGGAGATAACCGGTTCTTAAAAAAACACAAACAAAAAAACCCCCTCAAACTCTTAGTGGTTTTTAAAATCCTGTAGGTGAAGGCATGCTAGCTGTGTTGTATTTGCACATGAGTGTGTTGAAGGGGTTCCTACAGTGAGGAATGTGCAGTTTTCCCTCAGCACTGTTTTGGTCTGCTGCGCATGCTCTCACCTTCTAATGTGGAGTGAGAGGTGATTATTTGATTCCCATATAAATAGGGCTTGAGAAATACGCAGTGATGTCACTAAGAGTAAAGTCACGACAGCTCTGCAAGTTCGTTCATTTCCCCTGCATTAGGGAGCTTTAAAAAATGCAGAGGTATCTCGGTGGATGCTCACTTCATTCCTCAGCCCTTAAAAAAACGAAGTCATGGCTGACTAAATGTACGGAGTTTTGGAATAATATAAATGGGAACTTTGTGGACTATGAAAAAATAATTGGACGTTGAGTGTCTGAATATAGACTTCTTTTGGGAAAGACGGTACTTGGCCGTTTTCATTGCTTTCTGATGGTAGAATTGTTATTTTGATCATTACTTGGCATTTATTTACCTTTTTTTGGTAATAAAAACAATTGAACTCAGAAAACTAGGGCAAAATGGAAAACAAGTATATATACTACTAAATTTAATTTTCCTATTAACATTTTATTGAGCTTCTCAGAGTCTTCCCTGTTCTCCCTCTTTCCCAACATAAGTGTGATCTATTCTCGGTCTATCATTTTTTTTTTTTAAACTTCTTATGGAAATTCTCAAATGTGTACAGAAGATGTTCAAGCATATATCAAAGTATAGAGAATTATACAATAGACCTCATGTTCATCGTGCAGCTTTAACAGTTATCAGCACATGGCCATTCTTACCTATTCTATCATCCCTACCTCCAAACACTGGATTATTTTAAAGTAAATTGCAGATATCATTTTATCCATAAGTTCAGTCCTGCACCACATAACAATGTTTTGATTGACAGTGGCCTGCATATTCGACAGCGGTCCCATAAGATTATAATACTGTGTCTTTACTATACCTTTTCTATGTTTAGATACACAAAAACTTACCACTGTGTCACAGTTGCCTATAGTATTAAGTGCAGTAGCATGTTCTGCAGGTTTGTAGCCTAGGGGCAGTAGGCTACACCATATGGCCTAGGTGTGCAGTAGGCACTGCCATCTAGGTTTGTGTAAGTCACTCTATGATGTCCACACAACGACGAAATTGCCCAACGATGTTAATTCTCAGAATGTGTCTCTGTTGTCAGGCAACATGCGACTATATATATAGGTATGTGTATATATACACACATACACACACATACATGTTTGTGTGTATATATGTATTTGTATGTATGGGTATAAATATAGGCTATGCCATATAGGTTAGGTGTAGAGTAGACTGTACCACCCAGGTTTGTGTAAACACTCTATGATGTCCACAGGACAGCGAAATCACCTAACGACCTATTTCTTAGAATGTATCCCCATTAAGTGATGCATGACCATATTGCAGTTAGTGTTTCTAAAAGATAAGGCCTCCTTTAAAACACATGAGTACCATTATTATTAGGAATAATTTCTCAGTTTCATCACTTAGGATGGAAGCGTTCAAACTTTTTCAGTTGTTTCATAAAGTTTTTTTGATGCTTGGTTCATCTGGGTTGAGCCTCATGCCCTGTGGACCTCCCCGTGGTCTGGATTTGCCGGATTACTTCCCCCACATTCTTGCTATTTTTCCCCCCCTTTTGTGTTGCCTTTTCAATTCCTAAGTTTGTTGGGCTCAGTCACCAGTGAGCCTGTCTGCTCCTTACAGATCTTCTCCCTGGGCTACTGCCCCACCGGGGAGTGGCTGGCCGTGGGCATGGAGAGCAGCAACGTGGAGGTGCTGCATGTGAACAAGCCCGACAAGTACCAGCTGCACCTGCACGAGAGCTGTGTGCTGTCCCTAAAATTCGCGTATTGTGGTGAGTGCAGCTTGAAAGGAAACTGGAGGCCATTGATGGCCTAAATGGAAAATACTTGTAAAAAAAAAAAAAAAAGAAAGAAAATATGGTAGAGATCCTATCTGGAAAAAATGTTGTTCTCCGAGCAGCTGGATGCAATAATTCTATTGTTTTAACATGTTCTTCAGAGCACAGTAATGTCTGTTTCAGTCTGTTTCGCTAATTTGAGAAAAGCCAGCAGACGATGAAACTGCCTTGTACAAGGTTTGGACACATGCTTGTTTTTAGTGGGCATAGGAGACAATTAATTACCACTCTGAGGAGGGGTGGGTGGAAACTTGCAGAAGAACAGGACAGGAGCAGTGGAAGGTGTTACGAGCTGGCCAGGGTGAGGAACGCAGGGTCAGAGAGGGGGACATTTAGCTGGACCCAGACTCTCACACTCTGCAGTGGGGATAAAGACGGGAGAAGTTCAGGTGGAAACTATTCTTGTACTGAAGGTGGTCAGTTCAGAAGATAGATGGGTGCCTGCTTCTGTATGCCATATGATGTGACTGGCATTTTGCATAGTCATTTCATCCTTCCTGGTCCCATTTTGTCACAAGGAGACTGACCAAAGCAGAACAACTTCATTAATTCAATATTTAAGGGCCTACCGTGTGTTGGATATGATGGTATTAGTCACCCAGTGACTAGTGAGGCCGACACCTCTTGAGTTATGCCTAAGATTACACAGGCAATTCACCGAGGAGCCCAGATGTAAAACCTGCTCATGTCCTAGACCAACCCTTTGGGCATGATAGTTCATGCATTAAAAATGCTCTCGGTGTGATTTAAGCCCAGCTTGTTATTAATAATATGATAGCAGGAATTATTTGTTTAAGAAATGAGGTCTTGCCATGTCGTGCAGGCTGGACATAGTAGGAATTTTAATCTTGCTAACAGCACATATTCCTTTGCATATTCCATTTTAGGTAAATGGTTTGTGAGTACTGGAAAAGATAACCTCCTCAATGCTTGGCGGACCCCCTATGGAGCCAGTATATTCCAGGTGAGTACATGCCCCTTACCTAAAATATGACAGTTTAACCACAGGGTCACCTTTGAAGCTAGACGTGAAGGTACCTCTAAGGGAGCAGGGCCCCCAAGTGTCCTTACTCCACATTAAACATGTACCCATTGTTTTCTCTTCCAGTCCAAAGAGTCCTCATCAGTGCTAAGCTGTGACATCTCTGTGGATGATAAGTACATAGTCACTGGCTCCGGGGACAAGAAGGCTACAGTCTATGAAGTCATCTACTGAAAACATTATGTGGTTTAACATTTATAGTTGAATTGGGCCAAAATGTTTTGAATTTGTAGAAATAGAAAAGTTGTAACTTTAAAAGAAAAAAAAAAAAACATACAAAAACCTGTTTCCAAACTTTGACACAAAACAACTACTTTGAGTCTACAAAGAGGAGTGGACGAGTCCATCAGCGGAAGGTCACCTGTCAACCTAGACCAGATGGAGCACCGAGGCCAAGTGGACAGAGGGCCAAGGGTTGTGGGATTGAGGGACAGCATCTGCTGGCCCGGGTCAGAGCCCGTTCTTTCTGGGTGAGCTGTCGATCGCGCCTTGCCCGAGAGCGGGATTACCTTTCTGTTCCTTGCAGTTCGCCTCACGTCCCGTCCTTTGTAGAACAGTGGTGTCTCCAGTGAACTTGTTTCCTGGTTTTGCATCTTGTGAAATGTTCTTTTGTATTTTTGTTGAAGGTTAAGCATTTGTATAAATTGTAAATATATTTGGTTTATTACAGTAAAGGCTTTAGTACCAATAAGTGGCTTTCCTTTTCCTTCCTTAGGGTTTTTATCAAAGCTTTGGGACCATCAATGTGGGTTTTATAAGCAAAGTCCAGACATTTGTAGAGGGAAGTTTTGAAACATACTTCTTCAGGCTTAAGTATATTTGGTTGCGGACTCCTGTTGCACTGAGTAATTGAAGGTGTATTAATGACAGTTTTATTTAGGAAGCTAAAATTACTTCATCAAGACTCATTCTTTTGGTATGACACTCATCTGATTCAAGTTCACAAATTAAAGCTCTACTTTTTCCTGTTGATTCGTTGGAAGGCAGAATATTCTTTTCTCTAGGAAGGCCCAATCTTTTCAAATCTATATTCTTTCTCTTACAAGCTTCACTTGGGTTTTGTGTTATAACCTGTGATGCACGGAAAGCTGTAGAGTTCATTAACCTGTAAAAGAAAGGCGGGAATTCAGCTGGTTGTGTCTTCATTAATACTTACTTGATCTATTATATTAATTTACTTAAGGCAACCATACCCAGCACTTCACCCTATTCTTCTCATTAAGGCTCTCCCTACAGCTCCAGCCATTGTTATCTGTCATTTGTCTTTGGTCTTTATCTCTGTGGACAACCTTCTACTAATTTGATTAGATGAAATCTGTAACCCTGGGCTTTTAATAAGTTACTATGCATTACGTAGTCTTCAGGAAGAAACCTTCAGGTTTCTTCCTGAAGGCTACGTGGTTCATTCTTTGTATACCTATTATTTATTGTTATATTTTAGAAAGTAATGGCTAATGATTTCAAGCCAATTTTCCTGGCTGTTTTAAAAATAGCACCTAAGGAATTTTTAATGTTCTTATTTTCTTATGATCCGGCACGTTGTTGGCAGTTTGACTTCATATTTTTGTTTGTTACTGAGACCTTCTTCTTTTTAATATATTTAAAACGTTACTTTGTTTGCTTTTTGCAAAAAAAAAATTGTTTATGTACAGAGTTTGTTAAATATTTTCACTTCTCATTAAGCAAATGGCAAACCCCTAATTACTGAAGCTGATTTTGCTCTCATCCCTTCCTTGTATAATGAAGTAGGTTTCTATCCTACAGACTAAGATGCTTATTAACGGAGTATTTACCTTTTGTGCTGTCTCCTTCCCTGCCTGACTTCTCTGTTTTCTCTAATAGCAGGGTAGAGGTCTGGTCACTGTGATAGAGACCCAGCAATGCAGTGGGTTAAAGACCACCAGGGTTTTATCTCCTCCCACTTGGACCGGGGGACCCAGGCCAGCCATTTGGCTCCAATTGCCCCCACTTCCAGCCAGCAGTGGGGAAAGAGTGGAAGTCCAGGGAAAGGATGTGCTTCTAAGGCAGGTGACTAGAATTTGTTCCATCACTTTTATCTGCCAGTCCATTGGCAGGGTCTCTGTCATGTGATGGCCACAAGGGAGACTGGAAAGTGTAGTGTCTTGCTATGTAGCTATGTGCCCATGGAGAAGGGGCTATCCATAAGAAAAAATTCTGGGTGAAAGAGATAGTCATATTTTCTGGTGGTGGCATTGCTCCTTTTATTTTTTTTTTCAGTTTCCCAAGCTTTTGATATTCTTTCTCCAATGATATTTTTCTGAGAGGCTGGGCCTTACCACTCATAGGTCATCTTGAGTCTGATGAAGCTGCTTCCATTTTTTTTATTATTTTATTTTATTTTATTTTATTTTATTTTATTTTATTTTATTTTATTTTATTTTTTGAGAGAAAGTCTCGCTCTATCACCTGGGCTAGAGTGCCGTGGTGTCAGCCTAGCTCACAGCAACCTCAAACTCCTGGGCTCAAGCGATCCTCCTGCCTCAGCCTCCCGAGTAGCCGGGACTGCAGGCATGTGCTTCCACGCCCAGCTCATTTTTTCTATTTGTTGGTAGAGAAGGGGTCTCGCTCTTGCTCAGGTTGGTCTCAAACTCCTGAGCTCAAACGATCCACCCACCTTGGCCCTCCCAGAGTGCTAGGATTACAGGTGTGAGCCACCACACCTGGCCTTCATTTGATTCTAGATGAGACACTGACCGGGTTGGTGGCAAAAGTCCTGGGGGGCAGGGAGGGTGTTCTAGTGCAAGCCTCACCACTCGGGGTCAGAATCTTAGGAAATTACCCAATCAAGTGGTTCCCACTTGGAAGATGGGAACAATAAGTCACCGTGCCTGTCCTGGGTCTGGAGGCTCAGCAGTGGGGCTGTGAGCAGGGCTGTGAGCAGCAACCATGTACGTTTCCTCCTGAGGGCCACAGGGCTCTTTCTTTATACAACTGTTATTTAGGTATATAACAGGACCTCACAAATGAGAGCTCTAATGGGAGAATGATTTCTTCCTCCCCGGCTGTGACGGCGGGCACTGCCATTCCCCTGCCCCGGGAGATTAGCATCGTGTGACCATTGAGACTCAGTAAACCGATGTTTCTGTACTTCTTGCTTTGAACTTGGTTACAAAGTAGGATACAACACATTTAGGTTCAACTAAACATTAGTCACCTCTGTGTGCCAAGAGCTGTGCTAGGCAGTTTCAGGTAGAAATGTGTTGGGAGGTGGTTGTCACTGTCCTTATTTAACTAAAGCAAAGGTCAGGGCCGTTGTGTCCCCCGGCCTCACAGAAGATAGACCAAACTCAAGGTTTTACTACAGCCCTGTCTGTTGTTTCTTCAAATCTCATAGGTTGGCACTTATTGCACAATTACCTTATGTGCCACCCCTCCTCCGTGTTACAGCTGTACAGATAGGTTTGTGTTCACTAATTTATAACTTAATTTATGTAAATATTTGTTTTTTTTCATTTTTTAATCAACAAATCAAATATATATATTTAATTTTGGATTTTTAATCACTCACAGTCTTTACTCGTAAAATACCTTTTATGTACATTTCTACCATGTAATCCTTCTGCGGAGTTGGATAAAAGAAAAATCAAGGTCCTAATGGTTTTGTAATGCTTTTTTCATAGCTAGATGTTTCTAGTGGTTATTTTATAATTAAGAACAAAATATTTTCTCGATATGATCATTAACATTTATTAAGTTTCTGTTATTTGTGAGGTGACAGGGCTAGGTGTTTGACATAAATTATAATACCCCTCTTGGGGGCTGAGCAATGGGATTTTTGGTGAGTTAACTCTTAAGATAACATGACCAGTAAGTAGCAGTTGGCTCCAAAGCTATAGAGCAGACGTCCTCAGACTATGGCCCGTGGGCCACATGCCACCCACCTAGGACATTTATCTGGTCCGCCAGGTGTTTTTGCCGCCACTGCCCGTCCTGCTTAGCCCACAGTGCGCACTCTCCAACCGTCTGAGGGACAGTGAACTGACCCCCTGTTTAAAAAGTTTGAGGACCCCTGCTATAGAGCGTTCAAATAGGGATTTTAAAATCACACTTTTGCTAATGGTTGTGACTCCCCAAATTTTCCAGTAGATCAGAGAGAGGGGCCAGTCTTAATTTCAGCATGTTGCTTAATTCCATCAGGAGACTGCGACCTCTGTCATCATGGGAAGGAACTAAGTGGTGACTTTTCAAACTCTGCTGTGGGCCCGTGGATCGTCGACTTCTGGAGGTTGTCCTCTCACCTGGCAATGAAGTCAGGTCACCACAGCCTCAGGCTTCCCTGAGTCAGGTGAAGCTTAGCTAAGGTCATTTTCTGCCCCAGGGAATTTACCATACAGATAACCAAAGCTTCTTTGCATACTTTAATACTTAATAAACAGGTACAGGTTTTGTTCTTAACCAGGTTCAGGTTTCTAGAGAAGTTGTCAAAATTGAATCTGTATCAGCATTCCTGGGGAGACTAGTTGAAATTCAGATTTCTAGGCCAGCCTCTCAGGGTTTCTGGTTCACTAAACCAGGGAGGGACTGGAGAATTTGCATTTCTAAAACAAGCAAGTTCCCAGGTAGTCCTGAGATTGCTGGTCTAGGGACCATACTTTGAGAAGTGCTGATCTACAGTAATCATCTTCACAATAGAGCTAACAATTTAATAAAAACTGTTAGAGGCTATTCATATTTTCTTAGGACCAGAACCCTCCCACATTTTAGGCTTGGGAGCTGAGGATTAAAAGGAAAATGATTAAAAGCAAAGTGCATACAAGAAGTTGCTTAACATCTGTTCTTTGAATAGTCTCTGGTTCCCCAAACCAGCTTTTGAAGCGGAATGTTAGAATAGATCTCAAACTGAAACTCACACTGAAATTGAATTCTTAAAGTTGCTTTGCTTAGTCATAAAAAGCAATGTGAGTGTGGAAAGTTTAGAAAATGTACCACAATGACCTAATGTAGAAGAGGCCTCAAGAATGTACACAATGTTTAATTGGACTGGTGACGCATAGTGAAAAGTTAGAAATCATTCTTCGAAAATTGGAATACTTAACTGTGTAAAACAATAAGCTGCTTGCTTTTATAGAGTGTTTTTATTCTTTAAATTATCATACTAGAATCAGTGAACCCGCCATAATTTATTGAGGATGTGGTCAGCAAGATAGTCACTGGCCCAGTGACAAGGATGGAATTATTCCAAACGGGGGGTGGGGGGCACTGGGGAAGAGTCCCGAGGCCGCTGATGATGGGGGAGGGAGGGAGGGAGGGGCTGGAGGTGAGGCACTCCCCTAGGAAAACCAGCGGGAAGGATGGGCGGGCAGCTCTCAGCAGTCTTGGTTGCAAGTTACCAACTGGATGTCGGCTGGCCCCTGGCTAGGACACCCAACGGTGCCATTCCAACAAGTGTTCGGACGGACTGTTTGTTGTGTGCCAGGCACTATGCCAAGGGCTTCCATATGTTCTCACATTTAATTATGTTTAATTACTAGATGTGCCTGTGTACTAATAAAAATATCCCTCTTTCTTTTTTTCTTTAACTGATACCTTTTTTGAATCATAAAAGGATCATACACCTCTGATTTTTCAATTTGGAAAATAGGGCAAGGTGCAACAAAGAAAATAACCCATAATTGTTCCACCTAGAACTATATTATCATTTTTCATGCCAACCATGTCAAATATAATCCT